GCCGAGGCAGCCGCCGCCGGAAGCCGTCGTGGCCATGGCCCCGCTGTCGGGCTTGCCCCGCGGGTCGCAGCCCTGGCTCTCCAGCTGGGAAGGGGCAGCGCCGGAGGACAGCCGCCTGGAGCCAGGGAGGGACAGCCTGGGGAAAGCCGGCTGGAGCTCTGTGGGCTTGTGGGAGGGGCCGGGGCAGGAGGTGAGAGGTCAAGGGGTGCTGATGCTCAAGAAGGGCGGGGCCTGTGGGGGGGTCAGAGCACAAGAGGGGTGGAGCAAGAGTGGAAGTGAGGGCCCAGGGGCGGGGCTTGTGGGAGGACCCGGGTCCTGAGGAGGACAGTGCGCACACCGAGAGCACCCTCTGGCGGGCATCAGTGGTCACTGCAACCCTCTGGTCCTGAGGAACGGAGCGCGCATGCGTGCCTAGAGCGCCCTCTGGAGGGAAGCGGCGCTCACTGCACACTGGGTCCTGAGGAGAGGAGCATGGTGCTCACTTCACACTCTGGCAGGAAAGCAGCCCTCACTGCACCGCACCGCCCCCGCCCCCCCCCCCGGCTTCTGAGGATGACGGTGCACAAGCCTAGAACACCCTCTGGCGGGAATCAGTGCTCATTTTACCCTCTGGTGTTGTGGGAGGAGCAGATCGCAAGAGGGGTGGGGCAAGAACAGGAAAGTGAGTGGCCCAGGGGTGCGGCTTGTGGAGGGGCAGACCACACAGGAGGGGTGTGGCAAGGGAGCAGAAGTGAGTGATCCAGGGAGGGAGCTTGAGGGAGGGCCCATGGTTCTGAGGAGTACAGTGCACACACCTAGAGTGCCACGTGATGGGAATCAGTGGTTACTGTACCCCTGGACCTGAGAAGAGGAGGATGGTGTGCACACCTAGAATCCTATCTGGTGGGAATCAGTGGTCATGCACCCCCTGGTCCTGAGAAGAGGAGGCTGGTGTGCATACCAAGAGCACCATCTGGTGGGAATCAGTGGCTACTGCACCCCCCCACCTGAGAAGGATTGTGCGTGCGCACACCTAGAGTGCCCTCTGGTGGGAAGCAGCTCTCACAGCACCCCCCACCCCGACCTGCAGAGAGGAGGATGGTGAGCATGCCTAGAGCACCCTCTGGCGCTCATGGTACCCTGAGTCCTGCTGAGGACGATGCTAGAGCGCCCTCTGTGGGGATCAGCCCTCACTGCGCCCCAGGTGCTGAGGATGATGGTGCACAAGCCTAGAACACTCTCTGGCAGGAATCAGTGCTCACTACACCCTCTGGTTTTGTGGGATGAGCAGAGCAAGGAAGTGAGGGGCCCAGGGGTGGGGCTTGTGGAAGAGCAGAGCACAGGAGGAGTGGGCAAAAGCAAGGAATTGAGCCGTCCAGGGGTGGGGCTTGTGGGAGGATAGAGGATGAGAGGGGTGGACAAGGGTATGGAAGTGAGTGATCCAGAGGCAGGGCTTGTGGAGGGGCAGAGCATGAGAGGGTTGGTGCAAGAGCAAGGAAGTGAGCGGTCCAGGGGTGGGGCTTGTGGGAGGGACGACGGAGGAGAGTGGTGGGACAAGAGTAAGGAAGTGAGTGGTCCAGGGGCAGGACACGGGGGACAGAGCACGAGAATGGAAGGGCAAGAACAGGGAAATGAGGATTAGGGAGCCTGTTAGTAAAGGGTTAATGTAGGTTTGGGGAGGGGGTTAGGATTGTAGAAAGTGTTACTCATGCAGTTACATATGGATTTGGTTTAGCAGCTGGTCTGGGGTGAGGCGTAAGATTGCTGAGTGGCTTAGGGTATGTGTTAGGGTATGAGTGTGGGCTAGGGCACGTGTTAAGTTGTGAGTATGGGTAGAGTTAGGGTGTATGGTAGGGTACATGTTAGGGAACATGTTAAAATAGTGTTTGGGTTTAAGGTACAGTGGGGTACATGTTAGGGCATGCATTTGGGGTAGGTTTGGGGTGCATGTTAGGGTGCACATAAACTTATATGGTTTAAAATACATGTGAGGGTACTTGATTCTGTACATATTAGTGTTTAGAGTATACATTAGGGTACATGGTACAATTATGGTAGGTGTTCAGGATTGTTAGGGTTAAGGTATGTGTTAGAGTTAGGGCACATATTAGAGAATATGTTAGGGTACATTTTGGGTACATGTTAGGGTACATGTAAGGATCACTTAAAGTACATGTTAGGGTATTTGTTAGGATACACGTTAATGTTTACTATGCATTTTAAGATTAAGGTACATTTTAAGATACACAAGGTATTAGAGTTAGGGTATATTTGGCATATGGATTTCCATCAGGGTAAATATTAGGATGTGAGTATGGGCCAGAATTAGGGTGTATAATGGGGTATATGTTAGGGAACATTTTAGGGTACATGTTAGGGTTAAGGTACGTGTTAGGACTAGGGCCAGTGCTAGGGCCCTAGTCCTAACCTTACATGTAAGGTTACCTGTGTGATTTAGACAATGTGTTAGTGGCTAGAGTATTTATTAGGATATGTGCTATGTTTAGGGTGCATGTAAGGTTATAGTTTCTTAGGGTACATTCAGGGTACATGTACAGTTTATAGAGTAGGTGTTTGGGTACTTGTTACCATATGGGTTAGTGTCCAGAGCTTGTTTAGTGTGTTACAGTATATTGGGAAATCTGTTAGGTTTAAAATACATGTTAAAGTAATGGTACTTATTAGGGTATGTGTTTGGGTCCATGTTAGGGTATGTGTTAAAGTTAGGGTATTATTTTGATAGGGGATATTTTAGGATAAGGTTAGGGCACATGTTAGAATGTGCATTTGGGTACATATTATGGTATGTGTTAGAGTTTGCATACTGATAAGGTCCTTGATCAAAGGAATGAGGCTGATACAAAGCAGAAGTTAAGCAAAGCTTTTATTTCACGTCAGGTATAGAGAATCGAACTGACTGGCCAGGGCCATCTCTATGGAGAGAGTGACCCCCACTTAGTCTCACAGGCTAGTTTTTTATAGGGCAAAACCACAAACCACAAACAAACTGTAAACATGTAGCTAATTT